AGTCACTCACTTAGTCACTCACTCAGTCACTCACTTAGTCACTCACTCAGTCACTCACTCAGTCACTCACTCAGTCACTCACTCAGTCACTCACTTAGTCACTCACTTAGTCACTCACTTAGTCACTCACTCAGTCACTCACTCACTCACTTAGTCACTCACTTAGTCACTCACTTAGTCACTCACTCAGTCACTCACTTAGTCACTCACTCAGTCACTCACTTAGTCACTTAGTCACTCACTTAGTCACTCACTTAGTCACTCACTCAGTCACTCACTTAGTCACTCACTCAGTCACTCACTCAGTCACTCACTCACGCACTTAGTCACTCACTTAGTCACTCACTTAGTCACTCACTTAGTCACTCACTCAGTCACTCACTCAGTCACTCACTTAGTCACTCACTTAGTCACTCACTCAGTCACTCACTCAGTCACTCACTTAGTGACTTAGTCACTCACTTAGTCACTCACTTAGTCACTCACTTAGTCACTCACTCAGTCACTCACTTAGTCACTCACTCAGTCACTCACTCAGTCACTCACTTAGTCACTCACTTAGTCACTCACTCAGTCACTCACTCAGTCACTCACTTAGTCACTCACTTAGTCACTCACTCAGTCACTCACTCAGTCACTCACTCAGTCACTCACTTAGTCACTCACTTAGTCACTCACTTAGTCACTCACTTAGTCACTCACTCAGTCACTCACTCACTCACTTAGTCACTCACTTAGTCACTCACTTAGTCACTCACTCAGTCACTCACTTAGTCACTCACTCAGTCACTCACTTAGTCACTTAGTCACTCACTTAGTCACTCACTTAGTCACTCACTCAGTCACTCACTCAGTCACTCACTTAGTCACTCACTCAGTCAGTCACTCACTCACTCACTTAGTCACCCACTTAGTCACTCACTTAGTCACTCACTTAGTCACTCACTCAGTCACTCACTCAGTCACTCACTCAGTCACTCACTCAGTCACTCACTTAGTCACTCACTTAGTTACTCACTTAGTCACTCACTTATTCACTCACTTAGTCACTGAGTCACTCACTTAGTCACTCACTCAGTCACTCACTTAGTCACTCACTTAGTCACTCACTTAGTCACTCACTTAGTCTCTCACTCAGTCACTCACTTAGTCACTTAGTCACTCACTCAGTCACTCACTTAGTCACACACTTAGTCACTCACTTAGTCACTCACTCAGTCACTCACTTAGTCACTCACTTAGTCACTCACTTAGTCACTCACTAAGTCACTCACTTAGTTACTCACTTAGTTACTCACTTAGTCACTCACTTAGTCACTCACTCAGTCACTCACTTAGTCACTCACTTAGTCACTCACTTAGTCACTCACTAAGTCACTCACTTAGTTACTCACTTAGTTACTCACTTAGTCACTCACTCAGTCACTCACTTAGTCACTCACTTAGTCACTCACTTAGTCACTTAGTCACTCACTTAGTCACTCACTTAGTCACTCACTTAGTCACTCACTTAGTCACTCACTAAGTCACTCACTTAGTTACTCACTTAGTTACTCACTTAGTTACTCACTTAGTCACTCACTCAGTCACTCACTTATTCACTCACTCAGTCATTCACTCAGTCATTCACTTAATCACTCACTTAGTCACTCACTTAGTCACTCACTCAGTCACTCACTCAGTCATTCACTTAGTCACTCACTTAGTCACTCGCTTTGTCACTCACTTAGTCACTCAGTCACTCAGTTAGTCACTTAGTCACTCACTCAGTCACTTAGTCACTCACTCAGTCACTCACTTAGTCACTCACTCAGTCACTCACTTAGTCACTCATTTAGTTACTCACTTAGTCACTTAGTCACTCACTTAGTCACTCACTTAGTCACTCACTTAGTCACTCACTCAGTCACTCACTCAGTCACTCACTTAGTCACTCACTTAGTCACTCACTTAGTCACTCACTCAGTCACTCACTTAGTCACTCACTTAGTCACTCACTCAGTCACTCACTCAGTCACTCAGTCACTTAGTCACTCACTTAGTCACTCACTTAGTCACTCACTCAGTCACTCACTTAGTCACTCACTCAGTCACTCACTCAGTCACTCACTTAGTCACTCACTTAGTCACTCACTCAGTCACTCACTTAGTCACTCACTTAGTCACTCACTCAGTCACTCACTCAGTCACTCACTTAGTCACTCACTTAGTCACTCACTCAGTCACTCACTCAGTCACTCACTCAGTCACTCACTCAGTCACTCACTTAGTCACTCACTTAGTCACTCACTCAGTCACTCACTCACTCACTCATTCACTCACTTAGTCACTCACTTAGTCACTCACTCAGTCACTCACTCAGTCACTCACTTAGTCACTCACTCAGTCACTCATTTAGTCACTTAGTCACTCACTTAGTCACTCACTTAGTCACTCACTTAGTCACTCACTCAGTCACTCACTTAGTCACTCACTCAGTCACTCACTCAGTCACTCACTCACTCACTTAGTCACTCACTTAGTCACTCACTCAGTCACTCACTCAGTCACTCACTCAGTCACTCACTCAGTCACTCACTCAGTTACTCACTTAGTCACTCACTTAGTCACTCACTTAGTCACTGAGTCACTCACTTAGTCATTCACTCAGTCACTCACTTAGTCACTCACTTAGTCACTCACTTAGTCACTCACTTAGTCTCTCACTCAGTCACTCACTTAGTCACTTAGTCACTCACTCAGTCACTCACTTAGTCACTCACTTAGTCACTCACTTAGTCACTCACTCAGTCACTCACTTAGTCACTCACTTAGTCACTCACTTAGTCACTCACTTAGTCACTCACTAAGTCACTCACTTAGTTACTCACTTAGTTACTCACTTAGTCACTCACTCAGTCACTCACTCAGTCACTCACTTAGTCACTCACTTAGTCACTCACTTAGTCACTTAGTCACTCACTTAGTCACTCACTTAGTCACTCACTTAGTCACTCACTTAGTCACTCACTTAGTTACTCACTTAGTTACTCACTTAGTCACTCACTCAGTCACTCACTCAGTCACTCACTTAGTCACTCACTCAGTCATTCACTTAATCACTCACTTAGTCACTCACTTAGTCACTCACTTAGTCACTCACTTAGTCACTCACTCAGTCACTCACTCAGTCATTCACTTAGTCACTCACTTAGTCACTTGCTTAGTCACTCACTTAGTCACTCAGTCACTCAGTTAGTCACTTAGTCACTCACTCAGTCACTTAGTCACTCACTTAGTCACTCACTTAGTCACTCACTTAGTCACTCACTTAGTCACTCACTTAGTCACTCACGTAGTGACTCACTCAGTCACTCACTTAGTCACTCACTTAGTCACTCAGTCACTCACTTAGTCACTTAGTCACTCACTTAGTCACTCGCTTAGTCACTCGCTTAGTCACTCGCTTCGTCACTCAGTCACTCGCTTAGTCACTCAGTCACTCGCTTAGTCACTTACTTAGTCACTCACTTATTCACTCACTTATTCACTCACTTAGTCACTCACTTATTCACTCACTTAGTCACTCACTTAGTCACTCACTTAGTCACTCACTTAGTCACTCACTTAGTCACTCACTCAGTCACTCAGTCACTCACTTAGTCACTCACTTAGTCACTTAGTCACTCACTTAGTCACTCACTTAGTCACTTAGTCACTCACTTAGTCACTCACTTAGTCACTTAGTCACTCACTTAGTCACTCACTTAGTCACTCACTTAGTCACTCACTTAGTCACTTAGTCACTCACTGAGTCACTCACTTAGTCACTCACTTAGTCACTCACTTAGTCACTCACTTAGTTACTTAGTCACTCACTTAGTCACTCACTTAGTCACTCACTTAGTCACTTAGTCACTCACTTAGTCACTCACTTAGTCACTCAGTCACTCACTTAGTCACTCACTTAGTCACTCACTTAGTCACTTAGTCACTCACTTAGTCACTCACTTAGTCACTCACTTAGTCACTCAGTCATTCACTTAGTCACTCACTTAGTCACTCACTCAGTCACTCACTTAGTCACTCACTTAGTCACTCACTCAGTCACTCACTTAGTCACTCACTTAGTCACTCACTCAGTCACTCACTTAGTCACTCACTCAGTCACTCACTCAGTCACTCACTTAGTTCCTCACTTAGTCACTCACTTAGTCACTCACTTAGTCATTCAGTCACTCACTGAGTCACTCAGTTTCTCACTGAGTCACTCAGTCACTCACTTAGTTACTCACTAAGTCACTCACTTAGTCACTCACTTAATTAATCACTTAGTTACTCACTTAGTTACTCACTTAGTCACTCACTTAGTTACTTAGTCACTCACTTAGTCACTCACTTAGTCACTCACTTAGTCACTCACTAAGTGACTCACTTAGTCACTCACTTAGTCACTCACTAAGTGACTCACTTAGTCACTCACTTAGTCACTCACTTAGTCACTCACTTAGTCATTCACTTAGTCACTCAATCACTCACTTAGTCACTCACTTAGTCACTCACTTAGTCACTCACTTAGTCACTCACTAAGTCACTCACTCAGACACTCACTTAGTCACTCACTTAGTCACTCATTTAGTCATTCACTTAGTCACTCAATCACTCACTTAGTCACTCACTTAGTCACTCACTTAGTCACTCACTAAGTCACTCACTTAGTTACTCACTTAGTTACTCACTTAGTCACTCACTTAGTCACTTAGTCACTCACTTATTCACTCACTTAGTCACTCACTTAGTCACTCACTTAGTCACTCACTCAGTCACTCACTTAGTCACTCACTTAGTCACTTAGTCACTCACTTAGTCACTTACTTAGTCACTCACTTAGTCACTCACTTAGTCACTCAGTCACTCACTTAGTCACTCACATAGTCACTCACTTAGTCACTTAGTCACTCACTTAGTCACTCACTTAGTCACTCACTTAGTCACTTAGTCACTCACTTAGTCATTCACTTAGTCACTCACTTAGTCACTCACTTAGTCACTTAGTCACTCACTTAGTCACTCACTTAGTCACTCACTTAGTCACTTAGTCACTCACTTAGTCACTCACTTAGTCACTCACTTAGTCACTCACTCAGTCACTCACTTAGTTACTCACTTAGTCACTCACTTAGTTACTCACTTAGTCATTCACTTAGTCACTCACTTAGTCATTCAGTCACTCACTTAGTCACTCAGTTACTCACTGAGTCACTCAGTCACTCACTTAGTTACTCACTTAGTCACTCACTTACTCACTTAGTCACTTAGTCACTCACTCAGTCATTCACTTAGTCACTCACTTAATCATTCACTTAGTCACTCAGTTACTCACTTAGTCATTCACTTACTCACTCACTTAGTCACTCACTTAGTCATTCACTTAGTCACTCACTTAGTCATTCACTTAGTCACTCAATTAGTCACTCAATTAGTCATTCACTCAGTCACTCATGTAGTCACTCACTCAGTCACTCAGTCACTCACTTAGTCACTCACTCAGTTACTCACTTAGTTACTCACTTAGTCACTCACTTAGTCACTCACTTAGTCATTCACTTAGTCACTCACTCAGTCACTCACTCAGTGAGTTACTGAGTAACTGACTGAGTGACTGACTGAGTGGGTGACTGAGTGAGTGACTGAGTGCGTGACTGAGTGACTGACTGAATGTCTGACTGACTGAGTGACTGACTGAGTGACTGACTGTTTGACTGAGTGACTGACTGAGTGACTGACTGAGTGAGTGAGTGTCTGACTGAGTGGCTGACTGTGTCACAGGGAGTGTCTGAGTGAGTAACTGAGTGACTGACTAAGTGACTAAGTAACTGAGTGACTGTCTATGTGTCACAGCGAGTGACTGACTGACTGAGTGACTGACTGTGTGTGTGTCACAGGGAGTGTCTGAGTGACTGACTAACTGAGTGACTGACTGAGTGACTGACTGAGTGACTAACTAAGTGACTGAGTGTCTGTGTGTCACAGGGAGTATCTGACTGACTGACTAAGTAACTGAGTGACTAAGTGACTGAGTGACTGACTAAGTGACTAAGTGACTGTCTGTGTTTCACAGGGAGTGTGAGTGACTCACTAACTGAGTGACTAGCTGAGTGACTGACTGAGTGGCTAACTAAGTGACTGAGTGTCTGTGTCACAGGGAGCGTCTGAGTGACTCACTAACTGAGTGACTGACTAACTGAGTGACTGACTAACTGAGTGACTGACTAACTGAGTGACTAACTAAGTGACTGAGTGTCTCTGTGTCACAGGGAGTGTCTGACTAACTGACTGACTGACTAAGTAACTGAGTGACTAATTGACTAAGTGACTGAGTGACTTACTAAGTGACTAAGTGACTGAGTGTGTGTCACAGGGAGTATCTGAGTGAGTGACTGAGTGACTGACTAAGTGACTAAGTGAATAACTGAGTGACTGACTGAGTGAATGACTAACTGAGTGACTAACTGAGTGACTGACTAAGTGACTAAGTGACTGACTGAGTGACTGTGTGTCACAGGTTAGTGTCTGAGTGAGTGACTGAGTGACTGATTGAGTGACTAACTAAGTGACTGACTGTGTCACAGGGAGTGACTGAGTGACTGACTAAGTGACTAACTAAGTGACTGTGTCACAGGGAGTGTCTGAGTGACTGACTAACTGACTGACTGACTGAGTGACTAAGTGACTAACTAAGTGACTAACTAAGTGACTGACTGTGTCACAGGGAGTGTCTGAGTGAGTGACTGAGTGACTGACTGTGTAAGTGAGGGACTGAGTGATTGAGTGATTGAGTGAGTGAGTGACTGGCTGAGTGACTGAGTGACTGAGTGAGTGATTGAGTGATTGAGTGATTGAGTGACTGAGTGAGTGACTAACTAAGTGACTAAGTGACTAACTGAGTGACTGACTAAGTGACTAACTAAGTGACTAACTAAGTGACTAACTAAGTGACCGACTAAGTGACTGACTAAGTGACTAAGTGACTAACTAAGTGACTAACTAAGTGACTAACTAAGTGACTAACTAAGTGACTGATTGTGTGTCACAGGGAGTGACTGAGTGACTAACTAAGTGACTAAGTGTCTGTGTGTCACAGGGAGTGTCCGTGTGACAGACTAAGTGACTAAGTGACTGTGTATGTTTCACAGGGAGTGTCTGAGTGACTGACTAACTGACTGACTGAGTGACTAAGTGACTAACTAAGTGACTAACTAAGTGACTGTGTGTCACAGGGAGTGTCTGAGTGACTGACTGAGTGACTAAGTGACTAACTAAGTGACTGACTGTGTGTCACAGGGAGTGTGAGTGAGTGACTAACTAAGTCACTGAGTGACTGACTGTGTGTCACAGGGAGTGACTGAGTGACTGACTGACTAAGCGACTAAGTGTCTGTGTGTCAAAGGGAGTTGTCCATGTGACTGACTAACTAAGTGACTAACTAAGTGACTAACTAAGTGTCTGCGTGTCACAGGGAGTGACTGAGTGACTGACTGACTGAGTGACTAAGTGACTAACTGAGTGACTGACTGTGTGTCACAGGGAGTGTCTGAGTGAGTGACTGATTGACTAAGTGACTAACTAAGTGTCTGTGTGTCATAGGGAGTGACTGAGTGACTAATTGACTAAGTGACTGACTAAGTTTTTAAGTGACTGTGTCACAGGGAGTGTCTGAGTGAGTGACTAAGTCACTGAGTGGCTGACTGTGTGTCACAGGGAGTGACTGAGTGACTGACTGACTAAGTGACTAAGTGTCTGTGTCACAGGGAGTGTCTGAGTGAGTGACTGAGTGACTGACTAAGTGACTAACTGAGTGGCTGTCTGTGTGTCACAGGGAGTGTCTAAGTGAGTGACTGAGTGACTGAGTGACTGACTAAGTGACTAACTAAGTGACTGTGTGTCACAGGGAGTGACTGAGTGACTGACTAAGTGACTGACTAAGTGACTAACTAAGTGTCTGTGTCACAGGGAGTGTCCGTGTGACTGACTGACTAAGTGACTAAGTGACGAAGTGACTGACTGTGTGTCACAGGGAGTGTCTGAGTGAGTGACTGAGTGTTTGAGTGACTAACTAAGTGACTAACTAAGTGTCCGTGTGTCACAGGGAGTGTCCGTGTGATTGACTAAGTGACTGAGTGGCTGACTGTGTCACAGGGAGTGACTGAGTGACTGACTGACTAAGTGACTAACTAAGTGACTAAGTGTCTTTGTGTCACAGGGAGTGTCTGAGTGACTGACTGACTAAGTGACTGACTAAGTGACTAACTAAGTGACTAACTAAGTGACTGTGTGTCACAGGGAGTGTCCGTGTGACTGACTAAGTGACTAAGTGACTGTGTTTCACAGGGAGTGACTGAGTGATTGACTGACTAAGTGACTAACTAAGTGACTAACTAAGTGACTAAGTGACTGTGTGTCACAGGGAGTGACTGAGTGACTGACTGACTAAGTCACTAACTAAGTGACTAACTAAGTGACTAACTGAGTGTCTGTGTGTCACAGGGCGTGTCTGAGTGACTGATTGACTGACTGACTGAGTGACTAACTGAGTGACTGAGTGTCTGTGTGTCACAGGGAGTGTCTGAGTGAGTGACTGACTGAGTGACTGACTGAGTGACTGACTGAGTGACTGTGTGTCACAGGGAGTGTCTGAGTGACTGATTGACTGAGTGACTGAGTGACTAACTAAGTGACTAAGTGTCTGTGTGTCACAGGGAGTGTCTGAGTGACTAACTAAGTGACTACCTAAGTGACTAACTAAGTGACTAAGTGACTAAGTAAGTGACTAACTAAGTGACTGAGTGACTAACTAAGTGACTGAGTGTCTGTGTGTCACGGAGTGTCTGAGTGACTAACTGAGTGTCTGTGTGTCACAGGGAGTGTCTGAGTGACTGATTGACTGAGTCACTAACTAAGTGACTAACTGAGTGTCTGTGTGTCACAGGGAGTGTCTGAGTGACTGACTGAGTGACTGACTAAGTGACTGACTAAGTGACTGTCTGTGTGTCACAGGGAGTGACTGAGTGACTGACTGACTAAGTGACTAACTGAGTGGCTGACTGTTTGTCACAGGAAGTGTCTGAGTGACTGACTGACTGAGTGACTAACTAAGTGACTAACTAAGTGTCCGTGTGTCACAGGGAGTGTCTGAGTGACTGAGTGACTGACTGACTAAGTGACTAAGTGACTAACTGAGTGACTGAGTGACTGTCTGTGTGTCACAGGGAGTGTCTGAGTGACTGACTGACTGAGTGACTGACTGACTAAGTGACTAAGTGACTGACTAAGTGACTGACTAAGTGACTAACTGAGTGTCTGTGTGTCACAGGGAGTGTCTGAGTGACTGAGTGACTGACTGACTAAGTCACTAACTAAGTGACTGACTAAGTGACTAACTAAGTGTCTGTGTGTCACAGGGAGTGTCTGAGTGACTGACTGACTAAGTGACTGACTAAGTGACTAACTAAGTGACTAACTAAGTGACTAAGTGTCTGTGTGTCACAGGGAGTGACTGATTGACTGACTGACTGAGTGACTAACTAAGCGACTAACTAAGCGACTAACTAAGTGACTAACTAAGTGACTAACTAAGTGACTAACTAAGTGACTAACTAAGTGACTGACTAAGTGACTAACTAAGTGACTAACTAAGTGTCTGTGTGTCACAGGAAGTGTCTGAGTGACTGACTGACTGAGTGACTAACTAAGTGACTAACTAAGTGTCCGTGTGTCACAGGGAGTGTCTGAGTGACTGACTGACTGAGTGACTAACTAAGTGACTAACTAAGTGTCTGTGTGTCACAGGGAGTGTCCGTGTGACTGACTAAGTGACTGAGTGGCTGACTGTGTGTCACAGGGAGTGACTGAGTGACTGACTAAGTGACTAACTAAGTGACTAACTAAGTGTCTGTGTGTCACAGGGAGTGTTGGAGTGACTGACTGACTGACTAATTGACTAACTAAGTGACTAACTGAGTGTCTGTGTGTCACAGGGAGTGTCTGAGTGACTGACTGACTGACTCAGTCACTAACTAAGTGACTAACTAAGTGACTAACTAAGTGTCCGTGTGTCACAGGGAGTGTCTGAGTGACTGACTGACTAAGTCACTAACTAAGTGACTAACTAAGTGACTAACTAAGTGTCCGTGTGTCACAGGGAGTGTCTGAGTGACTGATTGACTGACTGAGTGACTAACTGAGTGACTGAGTGTCTGTGTGTCACAGGGAGTGTCTGAGTGAGTGACTGACTGAGTGACTGACTGACTGAGTGACTGACTGAGTGACTGTGTGTCACAGGGAGTGTCTGAGTGACTGATTGACTGAGTGACTGAGTGACTAACTAAGTGACTAAGTGTCTGTGTGTCACAGGGAGTGTCTGAGTGACTAACTAAGTGACTAACTGAGTGACTGACTGTGTGTCACAGGGAGTGACTGAGTGACTGACTAAGTGACTGACTAAGAGACTAACTAAGTGTCTTTGTGTCACAGGGAGTGTCTGAGTGAGTGACTAACTAAGTCACTGAGTGGCTGTCTGTGTGTCACAGGGAGTGTCTGAGTGACTGACTGACTGACTGAGTGACTGACTGACTAAGTGACTGACTAAGTGACTAAGTGACTGACTAAGTGACTGACTAAGTGACTGACTAAGTGACTAACTGAGTGTCTGTGTGTCACAGGGAGTGTCTGAGTGACTGACTGACTAAGTGACTAACTAAGTGTCTGTGTGTCACAGGGAGTGTCTGAGTGACTGACTGAGTGACTAACTAAGTGACTAAGTGACTAACTAAGTGACTAACTAAGTGACTAAGTGTCTGTGTGTCACAGGGAGTGACTGAGTGACTAACTAAGCGACTAAGTGACTAACTAAGTGACTAACTAAGTGACTAACTAAGTGACTGACTAAGTGACTAACTAAGTGACTAACTAAGTGTCTGTGTGTCACAGGAAGTGTCTGAGTGACTGACTGACTGAGTGACTAACTAAGTGACTAACTAAGTGTCTGTGTGTCACAGGGAGTGTCTGAGTGACTGACTGACTGAGTGACTAACTAAGTGACTAAGTGACTAACTAAGTGACTAACTAAGTGACTAAGTGTCTGTGTGTCACAGGGAGTGACTGAGTGACTAACTAAGCGACTAAGTGACTAACTAAGTGACTAACTAAGTGACTAACTAAGTGACTGACTAAGTGACTAACTAAGTGACTAACTAAGTGTCTGTGTGTCACAGGAAGTGTCTGAGTGACTGACTGACTGAGTGACTAACTAAGTGACTAACTAAGTGTCTGTGTGTCACAGGGAGTGTCTGAGTGACTGACTGACTAAGTGACTAACTAAGTGACTAACTAAGTGTCTGTGTGTCACAGGGAGTGTCCGTGTGACTGACTAAGTGACTGAGTGGCTGACTGTGTGTCACAGGGAGTGACTGAGTGACTGACTAAGTGACTAACTAAGTGACTAACTAAGTGTCTGTGTGTCACAGGGAGTGTTGGAGTGACTGACTGACTGACTAATTGACTAACTAAGTGACTAACTGAGTGTCTGTGTGTCACAGGGAGTGTCTGAGTGACTGACTGACTGACTCAGTCACTAACTAAGTGACTAACTAAGTGACTAACTAAGTGTCCGTGTGTCACAGGGAGTGTCTGAGTGACTGACTGACTAAGTCACTAACTAAGTGACTAACTAAGTGACTAACTAAGTGTCCGTGTGTCACAGGGAGTGTCTGAGTGACTGATTGACTGACTGACTGAGTGACTAACTAAGTGACTAAGTGTCTGTGTGTCACAGGGAGTGTCTGAGTGACTAACTAAGTGACTAACTGAGTGACTGAGTGTCTGTGTGTCACAGGGAGTGTCTGAGTGAGTGACTGACTGAGTGACTGACTGACTGAGTGGCTGACTGAGTGACTGTGTGTCACAGGGAGTGTCTGAGTGACTGATTGACTGAGTGACTGAGTGACTAACTAAGTGACTAAGTGTCTGTGTGTCACAGGGAGTGTCTGAGTGACTAACTAAGTGACTAACTGAGTGACTGACTGTGTGTCACAGGGAGTGACTGAGTGACTGACTAAGTGACTGACTAAGAGACTAACTAAGTGTCTTTGTGTCACAGGGAGTGTCTGAGTGAGTG